ACAAATCACTCAGTTGGTACATGAAAAATAAAATAACTATGTGAACTCTCTCAAAACAACTGCCTTAATTGTTGGCAGACTCAATCGCAAAGTGGCCTCAGGTGTTCCGGAAAGTGTAACCATGCCTTAAAACGTTTAGGTCGAGTTTTAAACACATCTCAGTGGGTAAAAAGATCAGTACGTCAGTAAATACGTCAAAGAACTGGTTTTCGCCACACGTCAATACGTCAGTACACATCGTCAGACGCGTCAAAGAACTGTTATCCCTCTTAAGTCAGTCCGTCAGTAAAGAAAAGTTAATCAAACTATGTGAACTCTCTTAAAATATCACATTTTTGACAGGCTCAATCGCAAAGTGACCTCAGGTGTTCCAGAAAGTATAAGTATGCCTTAAAACGTTTAGGTCGAGTTTTAAACACACCTCAGTAGGTAAAAACATCAGTACGTCAGTAAGCACTCCAGAACTGGCCTTCGTCACACGTCAATACGTCAGTACACACATCAGACGTGTCAAAGAAATGAAAACACGCCAGACGCGTCAAAGAACTGTTATCCCTCTCAAGTCAGTCCGTCAATAAAGAAAAGTTAATCAAACTATGTGAACTCTCTTAAAATACCACATTTTTGACAGACTCAATCGCAAAGTGGTCTCAGGTGTTCCAGAAAATGTAAGTATTCCTTAAAACGTTTAGGTCGAGTTTTAAACACACCTCAGTAGGTTAAAACTCAAATCCGTCAGTAAACACGTCAAAGAAATGGTCTTCGTCACACGTCAATACGTCAGTACACACGTCAGACGCGTCAAAGAGATGAAAACACGTCAGAGAACTTTTATTCCTCACAAGTCAGTCCGTCAGTAAAGAAAAGTTAATCAAACTATGTGAACTCTCTTAAAATACCACATTTTTGACAGACTCAATCGCAAAGAGGTCTCAGGTGTTCCAAAAAGTGTAAGCATGCCTTAAAACGTTTAGGTCGAGTTTTAAACACACCTGTAGGTTAAAACTCAAATCCGTCAGTAAACACGTCAATGAACTGGTCTTCGTCACACGTCAATACACACGTCAGACGCGTCAACGAAATAAAAACATGTCAGACGCGTCAACGAAATAAAAACACGCCAAACGCGTCAAAGAACTGTTATCTCTCTCAGGTCAGTAAAGAA